CTATCTATCTATCTATCTATCTATCTATCTATCTATCTATCTATCTATCTATCTATCTATCTATCGACCACCAGCTCACCTGCCTTCCCTTCCTATCGTGCCATCCCACCCAGTTGCTGCCGTCTCGGCTGTACTTGATCCTGTACCGCTGGGCGAACTCATTACCCATGCCGTCGGCATGGCGACCTTGGGTGCCCACGAGCGTGATGAAGTGCAGCGAACGCAGGTCCACCTGGAGATACTCTTTGAGGCCGTCCGGCTCTGACATGATGTCAGGACACCAGGCCCCGTCGCCGTCTCCGTTGTCAAAGTCGAGTCTGCAGGGAGGCGAGGATGAAGAAAGGCAGGATCAGAGTTCAGGTACACAAACATGAGGAGGAGGAGGAGGAGGAGGAGAAGACAGGACATGAGAGGGGAAGGAAATGTTGAAAGACACGAGTAGAGGGAGACGAGGTAGTGAGGACAAGACATGCAAATAGATAGAATCTATGGGAAAATGTTCTTCATAATGTCAGTGGACATGTCATAAAAAAGCACTGCGGCTATTCAACATGCAGCAGCTTCATTAACTGTCACTTATGCTGAGTGTCAAACAAAACGAAGAGGACCGGCTGGTGTCTTAAGATTCACATTTATCACACAAACATAAGAGGAAGACATCTTCTCATCTCACATGAGTCAAACAATGTCAAACTATTCCTTTATCTTTTACCCCAACCTAACACAACCCTGCTTTCAACCACTACATGTTATTTATATTGAGTTTATCCTTGACTTGATTAACCACACTTGACTAAACAACCTCATCCATTTAGTGACTGTTGTGGAGCTTTTGATGCACAATCTTTCTTTGCTGTGCTGTCGTGAAGTTTTTTCAGCAATTTCAGCCAAAACAAATCGATCCCACTGATGAAGATTATGTGATTTGATAAAAAAAGCTCCTGTACAACTACTAAATGGACCTGAGCCCACGCTGTTCAGAAGTAATCAGATCAGATTGGATCAAATCTTGAAAATGCTTCGTTTAAACAGGAAAAAACTCAAACTTTCAAAACCTTTTAGAAGGATGAGGATATCTATGATCCAAAACAAATAAAAATAAAAATCAGGAATATGCTGCCAAGGGTGGATTCAAGGTGGATTTCACAAAACGTAATAATGTTTTGAAACAGGTCCTGTAACGAATCATGTTGTCATGTTTTTATTTAGCACTTGGTTTAAGCATTACAGAGATAGATAGTGATAGATAAATAAAAAAGACATTCAGCCTTTTTATGATGAAAAACATACAGTCGTGACTCAATAATCCGACCCTTAACAATCCTAAACCTGCTATCTGACAGGTTTTTAGGAAAAACAAACAGAACCCTTAAAAACAGCCTTAACATAGCGACAGCCTTGGATTCTGACTCCAACATGACATTTAATGTCACCAATCAGGATAACGACGTATTATCTGACTGAACAATCCCACAGATTGGCTACGTTCACACTGCAGGACTTGATGCTCAATGAGGATTTCTTTGTGAGTTCCTTCACGTTTCCAGTTAAATGCGACTTGTATGTGATCTGCTGTGTGAACTTCATACGACCCAAAAGTGTCCCACATGCACAGAAGAGGACACGACGACGTCACACGCAGCGAGCGTGCTCAGTGTTTACGGAAGTAAACATGGATGGTAACGGTGGAGCGTATCTGCCACTCCCCCGCCGCCACCGATGGTGGAAACAGAAGTGTGAGCGCTAACTAAACTAGCATCAGCAGCCAAGTACTGCCTGTGTGTTCTGGACACTTCCACCCCGTCAGAGCGCTGCCCCAGGGTGGAAGTGTCCGGAACGTGCACAGTCACACCGGTCAGTTAGGCTGAAATCCAGTGATGTGTAGTGTTCTAACAACACACTAGTTATTATAACAACTATGAACAATAAATATTAACAACTAATGAGCCTTCCAGCATCAAGCCCTCCTTGTATCCGACCTCCGTCTTGACAATCCGACAGCCTTGCTATCCGACATGAAAGAATGTTTTACATTTAGTGTCGGATTATCGAGTCACGACTGTATGTTCAAATTGTCCACAATGCATTCGAGGAACTACGTATATTCATTTATTTGTGTTTAGTTGCTGTTGGTGAGACGATAGATCTAGTGGATGCTGGTGCTGCGTTATGTTTCTAGGCCTGTTGTTCTCTACATGTCAGCAGCCTGCTTTGTATTATGTAGTTTAACACATCATTTAGAGAACTGAAGATCCAGATTGGGTAATCTTTGAAAGTCCAATGCTGCTTGAAAAACCAGCACAAAAGTAAGATCCTGGAGAGCACCGTGAGGGATCAATCGGATCCAGATTAGAACTTCTGAACAGTGAGATTATTTCGTTTTGTTAGGTTTTGGTGTTTGTTACATTAAGTTTATTAAGTTTCTAAAAACAAAGCAGTCAGTTAGTTTAGAGTGAATAGAAGAATTTGCAACAAGAAGAAATGAGTGAAAATATGATGTTCACATAGAAGAGACCCTTACAGATGATCACAATGATGGAGAACAGACAGATGCTGCTTGTTAGAACAACAGCTCATGCATGCTGCCCACTGACACACTGTGTGTATGTTCTCCAGAGCAAACTAAACAAGAAAAGAAGTGTATGATGGAACATGCCTTCCAAATCTTGCAGCAGTGGACTCAGACCACTGACTGGAAGCGGAGATGTCCTCGTCCTGAATCTGCCCTCCGGTCATACCGAGCGGGTAGCGGCACATTTCTACAAACACAAGAGCGGCACACGTCGGTCACGTTACGTGTTGTGTATTTGCGACACGTGAAATATGCTTTCACATGCCACACGTCTTTTTAGGACCCTTGCAGGAGTGTTAAGTGGTCAGAGCTCGTCCCTTCCCCTTCCCCTTCCCCCCCCGTCCAGCTCCTTTCCTGCAGCCCTGCAAGGCCTCTAAAGCCAAACAGAGGCATCACTGTGTAGGTGCCAGTCTAAGCAAAATGAGAAGGGAGTGTCCTCGGAGCTGCCCGCTCTTCATTTTTTTATAATTTCTACCAGAGACACGTGAGAGGACCTCTTGGACTTTTAAAGGCCAGACATCGGCTGGACGTTAACTCATATGTTTGGTGCGAGAAATAAATTCGACCAGTTGTTTTAACTCAGCCGAGAGTCCCTGTTTGTTCCTCCCGTTGCTACCTGGTCATTAAGGAACGTTTTGTGTTTTATTCACAATTCCTCTGAAAACCCCTCACATGGACTCGGAGGCAGCACAAACAGGCCTTTGACTGTGAAAATATTCGAAGTGGGAAGCGTGTGAGGGGATGCCTGTGTAGGTGTGTGTGTGTGTGTGTGTGTTACCTACAACTACGCCTACAAATTTTCTAACTTTTTTTTCTATTTTTTTTTTTCCACAAATGCCCCCTGCTTGTGAAAGCTCTGCTCTGTTCCGAGGATATTTGCTCTCTGACCATTAGGTAAACCACACACACACACACACACACACACACTCATGGACACACACACAACACATTATATTCTCGCTTTCTGAGCCCACCCACCTAAACTCGCTTCCTTGCTCCCTCTTGTCAACACGCTCATCTCTCGGGAGTATGAATAAGTTATTTCGAGCTTGACACACGTCTGGCTCGCACACTTCTGCTTTGATCGCATTAAAAACGACAAAAGCTTAATCTGAGTCTTTCGCTGATTCTCGGGGTCTAAACGTCGCAGGATTAATCCCTGTAATGGCCACTGTTTCCCAGCTGCCCTCCTCTAAGATAACCAAGCCCTTCCTGTCGGCTCAGTGGCAGAAACGTGGAGACGAACGTGTACCTGGGTTGACTTGGGATCTCACGGCGACAGCCAGCAGGAGAAAGAAGACGTGGTGTGAGATCAGTTTAACCTCCATGACCTTGGTGTCTTCTTAAGCACCTGGAAGGAAGGTTGTAGATCAGAGGGTGAGATTAACGTGAACATCAAGGCAGTCTGATCTACTTTATCTCCTCAGCAGTGTTTTACAGTTAAATTCTGGCTCATGGGGATGAATTTAAAGGCTTTGCTTGTGTCACAACATGTTCACAGAATTCGATATTCTCAAGGCTCTACTAAAAAAAAAAAAAAACCTAGCGTGCAGGGACAACCTGAGAGCCGCGCGGTTGGAGTGAACACCACATGGGCAGAGACTCCTGGTTTGATACCCCGGTGGCTGCACATTTACTGTTATTCCCTTGCTATATTTCCCCTTGTTTCCTGTCTCTCTACACGATCTAATAAAGGCAAAGCCGCCAAAAGATCATCTAAAAAACCCACCAGCAGAGTGCAATAAACAATAACAATAATGCTAATCAAAGATATAAAGGTAACATTTACACTTGTGGGATTTATTAAGTTCCTTTTGTTTCACACATAAACATGAGCAGAGTCGAAACTCAATTTAATATCCTGCATCAAAGCAACACACTGCAGAGAAAGCTCGCATCTTTAATGCATATTTTACTGGAGTTTTCATTTCTGTAGCAGTGTTATGATGATCAATGGCTCCTTTCTGGTGTAAGAGCTACTTTAGCGTAAATATGTGGGTGACTAATTAAAATATACACAGATAAATGCGCTTCTCCTGCCTCTGCTTCCACTTCCTTTAAAAGTGTGTATTTTTCTTCATGAAGTCACTCCCTGAACCGAGCAGCGCAAACTTCTCCTAAAGTCAGCGTGGCCGCCGGGATTAATGCCCACACATGAGAAAATATGGATTTGACTTACGTTTTGCAAGTTCTTCTCTCCTGCTTTTTTTTTTTATGAAACCATCTGTCTCGGGGAATATTCCACATCTACTGTGAGTTGATGCATTCAGCACTGCGAGCTGCTGACCTCGTCCTCGGAAGGACTTTCTGGGAGTGGAAAAGAAAGAGAGAGAGAGAGAGAGAGAGAGAGAGAGGAAACTGAGGCTGATGTAAGAGTCTTTCTGGCTGGAGGAAAGAAACAGAGAAAATAACACGGTTTGGGATTTTGAGGTGAGGCCAAAATCCCAGAATTCCACCTGATACACGAATGGTTTCAATTATGGCCCACAGAGGCAGCTGAGAGCTTCCAACGAGAGCTACCGACAAAAACAGACGGGAGGTCATTTCCTCGCAGAGGAAAACCTGCTAATTACCGAAGTATGATGACACGATGTTCAAGAGAACGCTCTCTGGATGCAAACAAGATGAGTCAAGGCGGGTAATAAAAGTGAAACGCAGAACGGGAACAGAAGCTTGTTTCGTGGTCAGGCTCAGAATAGTTTGGCTGAATGGAAAACCCCACGGTATGTGTGTAAAATTATGTTCTCATTACTCCAAAGATTTTAATGTTTTTCATATTTATTCAGATAAGAAACCAACGAGTTTAACGAATTAACAGCTTCTCTGGGATATTTTGTATGAAAACAGCGTCTGAGGCAAACGTGTCGGTGAGAAGAAGGAAGAAAAGAAAAAAATAAGACCGTATATCCAAAGCCACACATTCCTTCTTTGACTCACCAGCTTGCTTTTCTTAAAACCTCAAGTCTTTAAAGGGGTTTCAGTACATTCGAGATCCCTGATTTTTAACTGCTGATGAAGAACAACAGCAGCACCTGTCATCATAAGGTTAGTGTGTTTATGTTTGGGAAACAGGATTAACTCCAGCTACAGTCGGTGCTATAGTGTAGATAATACTGGTGATAGAAGACTCCAACTTGGTCAAATGCAGAAGTTCTGAAAAGTTTGGGACGATTTGAAATAATCACCAGATGAAGGGTTTGCAGTCTGGGCTGGTTGTATACCAGAGAAGCCCTACACAAGAACACCTGAAGAGAAAAAAACAATCATTTTCAGGACTTTACATCTGTTTACTTCTCTCCTGCCTCTGTGCTCACATTTTAATACATCCAGATTCTCAACAAAGCTGTTCTCATTCACACGTTTTTCTCTTTCTGTTGCCTGAAGCGTTACCGAGGCCGTGAAATCTTGATTTTATAACCTCCCTCTCACTCTTACGAGCTGCAATGTAAAAGCCTTAATATGTACATAAAACTACAACCAAAGCAGGAGACCAACAACATGATGAGGAAAAAGGGAGTTGCTTCAGCTGCTTTGAGAAGTATCCACTGTATCTGCATTGGGTTTTGTTCCATATACAAGGGGTTTGATAGATGCTTGAATTTCTTTTGGAGTTGCATTTAAACAATAAGGTCTTTTTAATGCTGTTGGAGTTAACCCTACAGTTTAACACTTGGTTTACATTTTAAGCTGCGCTGCATTACACAATAGGCTATAGTTTTTCAAAATAAAATGAACTTGAGTGGAATGATCAGCTTGTTCTTTTGGGGGAAAAAAAAAGTTTAATTGACTCATCTTTAAAATTGGCTGCAAGGTGGATCAGTGGTTAGTGTCGTCGCCTCGCAGCTAGAAGGTCGTCGGTTCGCGTCCTGGTGAGGACACCCGGGATCTTTCTGTGTGGAGTCTCCATGTTCTCCCCGTGCAGCGTGGGTTCTCTCCGGGTTCTCTGGCTTCCTCCCACAGTCCAGAAACATGCTGAGGTTAATTGGTGATTCTAAATTGTCCGTAGGCTTGGTCATCTGTCTCTAAGTGTAGCCCTGTGATAGACTGGTTACCTGTCCAGGTGAACCTGCCTTCACCCTGAGTCAGCTGGGATAGACTCCAGCCCCCCACCACCCTAGTGAGGATTAAGAGGTGTAGAGATAATGGATGGATGTTTTAAATAATTGATAGAAATATGAACACGGAAATTAGTCAGAGGAGCTGTTCTCACTGTCAAAGTCTTTATATTAAGCTGCTGGTAGTTTACTTTTCATACAGCGGCTCGGCATAACGAGCTGTTTCCTTCTTTTAAAGTCCTTTTGCTAAGCTAACCAGCTGCTAGCTACATATTCAGCCCACTTTAGGGGCATCTACAGGTGGATTTTTGGTACCTTTGGACACAGCTGTGTTTCCCCATTTCCAGTCTTAATGCTAAGCTAAGCTGACTCATTGCTAGCCCCCATATTCACTGACATAAGAGTGCAATCAACATTCACCAGGGAAGAAAACGAATCATTATATTCCACATGTGAACCGCTCCTCTACCGACAGCCCTCTTCTGTCATTATTTAATACGACGGCCTCTCAGCGTGACAGTCGACCGCATCACGTACCCATGGAGACGTGACGCACGGGGATGAAACCGAAGGCTCAACCCACCATCAGTAGGAGAGCAGGAATATCATCCACACACATGAATAATGACTAACATGATGATGTAGTGGGAAAGCAGGTAGATGAATGCTGGTAACACACCAGAGACTGTGCAGCCACAGTGGCTCGGCACAGTGCCTTGAGCTAAATGCTAACAATGACAACGTTAAAGGCTCCCTGTGACCTCTAGTAGTATATGTGTGGCTGTTTTTTAATGATATGCATTCTTGTCTGTGGTTTCATGGGAGAGCAAGACTGCTAACAAGTAAATCTGAGATAAAATACTGGATTTAAAGCTGAGGTAAGCAGTATTTTTTGGCAGCGTTGGGCAAGAAAAATCCATAATAACCTTTCAGGGTGTTGTAATTCATGCAGTCTGAGAGGAAACTAGACATCAGTACCTTGTCTTGGCTGTGTTTTTTTTTAAAGGTTTTAGAAAATGTAGGCCACAAGAGAAGACTTCAAATCACAAGGCTTTCCAGCTGAGATAGTCAGAAAAACAGGATAAGAAGGCGTAACAGGTAACAGAGGCCTTCTGCTCAGGAGACCGGAGTTTCAACGCTGTGAAACCATGAGTAAAAGTTGACTTTTAGCATCACTGTTTTTGAGTGTTTAAAGTTTGTGCATCCTGTATTCATCTGGTGGGAGGAGATTAAGACAGGATGAAGGTCGACTTTTCCAGATTTCTGCCTTCTGCAGCTTTAAAATACGTTAACAAACTGTCTTTTTAAAAGTTTTATGAAGACGGAACACATTTGTTAGAGCTCAAGGATTTATTAAATGCAAACAGGGCTCCTTTAACTTATTTATATTTAGATAATTAGCAGGTAGTGTACAACGTGTAGCTTCTGGACAAAATGTGCGATAGAGGAAATATTAAAGCCCAAAGTTCATCCTGTTGGGAGCATAAACGTCTAAATTTCACGACAATCCATCTAATAGTTGTTGAGACATTTTATTCCAAACCACAAACATTAGTTGTGTGGTGGTGCTCACGAGATCCATTGTTTCGTCATCTGGGAACCATGAATGTCTGCGTTCAAGTTAAAAATGTGTAGATCAGTGTCCATTTTTAAAACCTGTCTGAAAACTCATTTTTCTGCCCTGGCCTTCGACCCGGCATGAGACTCCTGCTTTATTGCTATTTATTGATTTTACTGTTCTTGTTGTCCTTTTTAATGATTTTATTCTACTTTTATTGTATTTAGCATTTTAGATGTTTAAAAATTGTTTTATATTTTGTGTTCAGCACTTTGTTTCGACTTTTGTTGTCTTAAAGTTCTTTACAAATAAAGTTGAGTTGAGATATTTCCTCAATAATCGGATTGCGTCAGATCATGAAAATGGGTTGTTCAAGAGCAGAAGGATTCTGAAATCAGATTAGATCAAGAAATTCAACCTTGTTTGTTTTTGTTTTTTTTTTAAATAAAACCTTCGGTGTGTGTCTTTTAAAACTTTTTCGTAGGTTCAAGATGCTATGATTAAAAAAAACAAAACAAAACAGGATTCAAGGTGGACTTCAAGAAGAAAATGGAACAAAAACAGTTTTGCAAATACTCATAAATATATATGACATATGTGACATAAATAGATGTGTATGTCACAGTCCAATTATGATATTAGAAGGACTTTAATTTGGTCTAGGCCAAATCTAAATTTTAGTTCTGCCCCAGCAGATTTAAAATCGGCCTGGATTTTAATTTGGACTGTGACATATATATATACTGCATTTGAGTTTAAACCTTAGTGATAAAGTAGCTACAAGGCTGAGGCTATCTATCAACCCTGTTAGTACAGTAAGGTTGAAAAAAAGTAATTTCTTCTCATTAAAGAATCCCCACAACAGCTGCCAACATTAAACTAAAGTTCTATATTTAATAATAATAACTGTCATTCATCACTATGTTTTAATCATCACAGGTGACTGACTCATTGTGCCTCATAAAAGCAGAGCTTCAAAAGCTTTTCACAAATGAATGAATGTTATGTTGTTAATTATTGGACATTCATCTCCACAATGCAGATGTGAACAATTGTATTTATTTGTTGTGGATCAGATGTGGGGTCTGACTGTGGAAGGGGATGTTTTTTTTTATTGTTTTTTTTTTTTAAGCTGTTCTGTCCCTTAAAAAAAAAAAAGCCAACAACATAAAAGTGCTTGAAGTGACCTCATGCTGCTGTTGGTTGTATCTGGATCGGGGCGATAAAGTCTAACGTTGCTTTGAAAAACTGGCACAAAAGTAAAATGGGTTATCTGATCCTGAAGAGAGCAAGAGATAAAAAAACAGATTAAACTTTTTGCAAACACAACAATCCACCAGTTATCACACACTGACTGACATTTCCATCCCTACAGCCAAACTGCATTTACAGTAAAACAACGCTTCATGGATTCATTCTGCCTCCGTAGTACAAAGGAGGATACTTACATCCAGCTGATTCAAGAGGGGGCGAGCACAACGACACTGTACACGCAATTTTTCTTTATAATCAAGCAAATGAAAGCAGAGGCCAACTCCTGGAGGCCGCCCACTATCTGTGTCGGCAGCAGCTGCGCTAGCGGAGCTGCGGGGCGTCGTGGTGGGATGTGGTTGGGTAATGGCTGATATTATTCATATTTTCCAGCTTATCTGCTTACATCAAGCCGCCGCTGTCTGCAGACACTGAGCTTAATGGGAGTTGACCCTGTTTAACGACCACAGCTGGCGTATCTCTAACGATAATAGAGAGCCGTCGCCCTCACAAAGGCCCACATCTCGTTTTCTCGAGCAGTTATAAACACTAACGAGGAAAACATTTCCAAAAGGTCAGCACCCCCGGAACTGCCGCTGCTTATCGTTGCGCCGGACGAATCGGTTTAAATCAGCCCCGGACGCATTTTGGCAATTTGTAAATCACACCAAATGGACTGGACATACCACCATGACACCAGATGGCATTTGCGAAAGGGCATTTAATTCCACAAGGAGACACATCAACGTAAGTGCACTTTCATTTTTAGCACACTTCTTGTGAACAGACATAACCTTGGAGAGGAATGCTAGAGATTGACAGAGAAAGAGAGACAGACGGGGAGAGAGGTGACGAGCTTCAGGGAGCAGAGTGAAGGAAGGTGAAGGAGGGGGAGAGGAAGAGATTAATCGATTTTGGAAAGAGCTCCAAACCACGTCCTCAGTTCGGTGATTCAAAGAGCTGGCTCACACGTGTGACAGCTGGCCAGGGGGATATGAAAAAACAGTCCACATCTTTTCCCCCGAATTCATTCTTCAGGACTCTCCAAAACAATTCCTGTGAAGGGAACAGTGACGCAGCAGTTTATCCCTGCCGCACTACAGCGTTAATAAATAATACTTACAGTACGTGGTGGCTACATTTTTAAGCAGCAGAGACACAAGACTGTAGCAGCACCTGCTCAGAGCATGTTCCCCTCTGAGTCCTCCAACGCTCTTCAACAATACAAAACAGGATGAAGAATAGAGTGAATAAAATCATGCAATGCACCAAGTCGAATCCAAACCGTACACAATGTCGTAAAAAAAAAAAAAAAGTTCACACTATGACAGATTCATGCTCGTTTTTAAAGATTACAGGTAAGTGTCATAGCGAGTGCAGCAAGGTTTTAAGTCCCACAGTTAAAAAAAAAAAAAGAAGTGCTAGCACGTTCACACGGACTTTCTTTCTAGGTGTTCATTAGAAAACGGCAAAAATGACAGATCCGTAGGCACAGACACGACCACAGTGTAGTAAGCCAACGCAGCGGCCCACAGAGTCTAGGAATCAAACATACGTACAACAATCATCAGACGCACAACACGGTGTGTAACACACACACTAGGAGACGAGAACAGTGTTTGGACGATCCGACAGGGGTTTGGATGAAGCTGCATTTTACCAGATTCTTATCTAGAGGTGCATATGTTGCAATGAAGCCGAGGACTAAGGTGTGTTTTCTGGATTACAGTAATGGTCTGTGTGTGTGTGTGTGTGTGTGTGTGTGTGTGGAAGCCAAAAATAATGTAACTGAACAGCTAAAGTTGATTTATTGATACTTGAATTTTTGCTCGTGCTAATTCCATGAGCCCTCGCTGTACTTTGAGTTTCCTGCTAATAGCAAACACACTAAGCTAAGATGGTGGACATTATGTGTTCATGGCTACAGCACTGACTGATGACAGGAGATGGAGGTGGCCACTGGATGTCGTTCATTGGCTTTGGTCTTTTGAAACCAGACGTGACGAACAAAGGGTGGATCTGACTGAGAATTCGAGGGCACTGTGCTCAATTAATCGATTTCGAGTCCATTTTATGCTTTAAAACAATGCAATTACAGCATTAAGCCACATGTCTAACTGAGGCTTTAAACTGTCACATCAATGGTTTTACAAATTTAAGCTGTCGTAGTTGTAAGACTGTCACACTTTTGATGCGTTCCCATCAAATGTTTTAAATGACAAACTTATATCGCAAATCCAATCGCATCGTTTGCAAGATCTGTCTGAAAAAAATGGCAAACACAAACTGTCTTTGCAACTGTTCAGCCCCTACACGGCCACATAGTCGTAGCCTTAGCTTAAAGCCTGATTCATTGTCTATTTGAATCTAAATGGGACCGTGAGTTGCTAAATGAACATCAAGCTGTATTAAAGGAGACTCCAAACTAGCATTTGAGACCATGAACTCATTAGAAAAGTATTTACTGAGCTAATAAATTAAGAGAGAAGTAGGATCATTCTCCCATACACTTCAACCAGAGGAGTCGCCCCCTGCTGGCTGTCAGACAGAATGCAGGTTTAAGTCACTTCTGCACAACTTTCACTTTTCAGATCCAGAGGCTACGTCCATCTTCTACATACAATCTCAAGGCTGTAGACTGGACAGCTTGATTTGTAAATGACAGGTTTAATGACTGTCCTGTAGTCACTGAACATGCGCTTGTTAACGTGATCGTTTTTCATGTATTCATTAGTGGAGTAATCAAGTCATCTGAACATTGAAGATCAAAATGCATAAATGTAATTATATGTTCAACACTTCTATTTCTATTACTTAATTTTATGAGTTACAGCACTCATACATGTGGCATGTTCTCAGTGCAAAGGAGGTGACAAAACTTGAAGGCAAAATGTAACATTTTTGCCACAACAGTGGTGAGTGACACGAGTCGTGTGTTCCAGCAGATGATGCAGTTGCTTTTTGTTGTCACAATACATAATTTCTGACTAATGAAGTCCTTCACCTGTTTCCCATTGGGGTGGTGCATAAGTGCAAAGTTGCCTAGTGCAGCTTCCGGAGCACCGCTAAACCGCCATCTCATCGCCCAGGCAGTCCGGCAGGGTCTCTGCGTTCAGCACATTCAGGAGTCGAGCGGCGCCGTCGGCTCCGGCTCCCTCGCCCTGCCCCCAGCTGTCCCGGTCATCGCTCTCATCCGTGTTTGACTCGTACTCTGATCCGATGCCCGATTCCCTGAAACGGAGCAGCTCCAGGGCTCCCAGGACCTGCTCCCCGAGCAGAGAGCTTTCATCTGGAGCACCGTCGCTGGGAGTCTCCCCGCTGTCCTGGCCCTGCTCCTGACCGTCAGGCCCTCGAGATGAAAACCGGAAGCACTCCAGGCGAACTCCACTGCCGCTGATCCCCAGGGGGATGGTGTCGGCGCCGGCGGTGCCTGGAGAGCAGGGTCCGGGCACAGCGGAGACCCAGGCACTGTCACTGATCTGGAGCTGCGATGGAGCGGCTAGCGGGCCCGCGGACGATGAAGGGGTGAGGGGTCCACCGGGGGGCTTGGCACGGAACGTTATCTCCAGAAGACTGTCCTGGGAGCCCACTGATGAAAAAGAGACAAACAGAAATAGTAAGAGACGGAAATGTACAGGATGAAAGAAAACACAGAAAGAATTTTATTTATCGCATGTAAACAGATGAGGGCCACATAGGAGGAGAGGTCCAAGCAAAGCAGATGAGATTACGTGGAGTGGGATGGCGTCTGTGCTGACAGGATTTGATAATTCGTGACTATAATGGCAGCGTATTGCCACTGGCTGAATGCAGGGAGAGGAGAACAGAGAGCAGCACTGAATCCTCTGAGGGAGCTGCCACGGGATAATTAATTGCGTGCCAGAAGTGGATAAAGAAAAGGAGCCATAACAACAGGAAGGAGAGGGGCGAGAAGGAACCTGATTAAAAGAAAAGAGATGAAGGGAGGAAAGGATTTTATGACAGGAATTAACAAAGGAGAAAGTGTAGAAAAAGAGGAAGATTAAAGGCAAGATGAAAAAACTGAGACGCACGCTTTAAATGAGAGCGGACTCTAAGTGGTGCGTCAGGGATGAAAGCGGATTTCCACTCACTCGATGATAACTGGCCCGCAGCTTTGAGCTCCAGCTCCTGGATCTGTTTGACTAACAGCGAAATGTGCTGCAGCAGGTCGGTGTTCTGCTGCAGCAGCCTCTGGACTCGGGCCTGGGCTTCGGACCGAGCACACACCTCCACCGACAGCTGCTCCTGGAGCACGTGCACCTGAACGCACCAACACAAATGCATCGTTAACGACACGTGTGACGAAAAACAGACTCCAGGACCCAGGGGCTGCAAACGCTGGATTTAAAAAAAGAAATAAACAGAAAGAAGCTTCCAGTGTTTCCTCAGAAGTCACAGAAGAGGCTGAAACATTGAACCTCCGTTATGAATCAACTTCCATGAATGAGAGCACAGATGTGGAAAGGTCTCTGCAGAAAATTTAATGTCTGGAATGAGAATTTACTCACCGAAATTTCCCACCACATCCTGTTTAACACTTCACTGACTGAACATTTTAATCATGATAATCATTCTCCTGCCTACATGAAACTGTAGTTCCTGGGCTTTTGCTCATTTGCCTGTTTTTACCTGATGTGTTTTGCCAAGTTGCATGAAGATTTCCAGTAATCTTAATGAGGATTCGTCAGTCACTTATCAAACAATCATACAATTCATTTAGAAGCTGGAGAACATTGATTAAAATGATGTGCATATGATGGACATGATAGTCAGACGTACTGGTGGTCTGTTTAGGACGTGTAGCTTGAGCTTTAGTTCATTTTTAGCTTGTTAAAGGTGAGCACTCGAGTAAATCCAGCAAACTGTAAGCACCAGAAATGACAAAAAAAAGACAAAAGAACAATAAAAGAGAAAAACAGATGTGCTAAATGAGGCACCAAAGAATAAAAAAAAGCCTCCATCAGTACCTGTGCTGAAGCTGCCAGAGCCTGCTGCTCCTGCTGCTGCAGCTGTTTCTGCAGGAGCTGGACCTGGTGCTCCGCAGAGCAGGACGCCCCCGCCGCAGACGGACCCGACACCGAGGCCCCGAGGATGGGAGAGCCCAGCAGAAGAGAGGGGTCATCAGATACCTACAGCAGAGGCGACAGAGTGACTTCTAACAGCATCTAAAAGCCATGTCTGCGATGGGTACGTCTCTGGCTGATTTCTCCAGTCCAGTTCGCTGTCTGAGTAATTCGTTCACCTTTTTACTCTAAAGCTCGAGACACACTTGAAGGCCAGCTGCAAAAAGACTGTTTCCACTGAGTTGCGCACAGTTTCATCTTGTCAAAACACTTGACAACACACCGAGTGTTCCCCTTAGTGATGGCAGTAGGCGAACACATCGCCAGGCACTGATTCGGTTATCTTCAGCTTATATTCAGTCCAAGCAGTTCAAAAGCAGCCTCGACAAGGACTGTACATAAGGCTCAGCATCCTTTCATTCATGACTACATTGTGAGATCCTATTCTGCTCTGTGGCTTCGTTTTATATATTTTTAACAAAGAAGAAATGTATTGTGAATCACAGCTGAGCTAAGGAGCTGCGAGTTGGGTCAGTTTACTTTTATTGATATTTGTACTGAACTCAACGTCAATCCTGTGCCGTCGAAAAACCTCCACAGTTACACACGATGCCACCGAACAACGAAAATCTCACAAGTATTCATTTTAAATAAACAGAAGAGTATGTACTCCTGTTGAAGGTCTGTACAGCAGACAGAATTAAAAGGAAAGTACAGGGTATAGGATAACCAACACTCCTAAATGATAGAGGAACAGTGGAAAGAGAAACACATGAAGCTTGTCTGTCTACAGAGGTGGTGCAAAAGCCGACAGTCTGCCAGCCGGAGCTCCTCAGGGAGCGAAACGCAAAGAGACGGCGCTCTGGCAGCGACGGGCCTGTCTGCTTTCATCCCGACGGAAAAATCCAACGCATGGATTCTTAGACATCATCGCCGCTTCACATTTAGGCGCTTATAGGAGAACTTCTGCAGTAAACTCTCAGAACGTATGTATATTTAGCATCCCCTGTCTGGAGTTTTACTATTCACTGAAGTGCAGGTGGGAAATGTGCCGAGCTTTTAAGAAACAAGAGGCAGAACGATCAAGGCAACATCCATCATGTCAAGTCGCTCAAATAAAGAAAATATCAAAGTGGGAACTGTTTTTCAGAACACATGAAGATCAATAAATGCTGCTCTATTGAGACCGCTTTTGATGGAGGATTTTGCTGATAGATCTCATTTTGAATTAATGTCGGGCCTTTGATTTTGACGGTCTGACACCAGTACATGACATCTGATGTTTAAGACCTTTAAATCATTTCTGCTGCCCTCAGACGCTGACGAGGGAAATATCCTGAAGGGGGTTAGTCAGAAACAAACACCCACACTACGGTTACTGTTGTAGGCAACATTAGCATTCAGTTAGCAGTTGTGTTTCAGACAATGTTGTACATTTAAACCCAATATTCATCACACTTGTCGCTCAGTTTTGTTCTCCTCCAACCAGTGAGAGAATGACCTGCTTATTTAGCTGCTAAAGATGTCAGATACTGGACAAGTAGCTGCAAGTTTTTAGAGTTTTTTTTTACTGGAAACAGTTGCCAGACATTTGTCCAATTAAAACTGATCCTCAATAAAATAAACTAATTTAAAAATGTGCTACTGAAGCTCTGATGCAGCCACCGTTCTCTTGTTGTAGTCACCACTCTGTGGGCTCGAGCAACAGGAAAAAGTACCTTTTATTTAAATGTATGTAAAATGTTGCAAAAGTTTTCATTTTTACTGCAATATATCAGCTCTAATATTTGTAAAAATACAAACAATACAACAACAAACAGTTTTCTGAGTAACTGTAAAGACCCTGACAATTTATATACAACTAGGAACAGCTAATGTGTTAAAGGGAACATGCAAAACAAAAATGTGCTGGCATGCTAACGGGACTGTAACGTTTTTATAGTGCCGTCATGATTGGTTCAGGACAGCTACCTAGTTTCAGTCTGCTGTTACATTAACATTAATCTTGTGGTCAGCAGCAGAGTTGAACACAAACAGTCAGTAACCGTCACACTTTGTTGTGGGGTTCCTCAAGGCTCTGTACTGGATCCACTGCTGTTCTCATAAAGAGTTAAAGTTCGATGTGACAGATGGAACCTTAATTCAGCAAAAATATGTACAAATATGTGTAAAATATGTAGTCATTATTACTCAGAAATAATGAAAACAATTGCCTGGTCTATTAATTTTTTTTATAAATATTGAATAAAAACACTGATTTAAATGACACAGAGTTTAATTTCAAGGAGGGATTTTGTCACTTATAAGGCACAACACTAGCATGTTAAGTCAGTCATACTGTAATACATCAAAGAGGTCTGCTACGATCAAAAAAAAACTAAGTAGCATCATTTAATCGAATTGTGAAGATGGGGCTTTAATGGAGGCTCAATCAGTGAACCTATAAATAGATCCATAGATTGATTGTCTGGGCTGCTGCTGGGATGCTCGACTCACACAATTATGTTGGAGCACTGCTGTGGGAGGAGCAGCCAAGAAGGACACGACTTATCTGTCACGTCTTTTACAGCAGATCAATACGTTGGACTATACTGTCTTTCAAACTCGACTGTGAAGGACACTCGACCTTCAAATTACCCAGACGTGTGAGAGCAGACCGTATGGCATGCTGCTGTTTTACTATGGAGGAATAAATAATGGAAAAACAAAGATCACTCCCCCCCATTGTCAGATAGCCATGTAATTAGACGTAATAACCACTCAATTCGAAGCAATTAACTCAAACGGCACCGGCTTTCTCTCTCGAGTAATAAAGCTGATGGGGCCTCGGAGAGTTGGTGGGAACCTGAACAGACCAACACTGGAGAGCAGACAGAGGCTTGTCCAACACTGCAGGATTAGCGGAGCAGCGCCAGGAAGCCTTGCTGTGAATTCATCAATAAACCATATGATCCCATCAATATTGAAGAGCCTCACGGAGCACTTCTTCACAAACAACCCTTCAAGATGCGCTTCTACTGTACATCCCTCAACGCTGTTTTCAGATCTTCATTTTTTAAGTTTATAAGAAGTCAAACTTTCAGCCTCCACCGACGTGAGCTCGAAGTGAGAGTTCTTGATTAACGGTACATTTCTGCCTTTTCAGATGTTTTTTCTTCAATCACTGGAACATATGCTCTGCCAAAATACACCCTGTTTATCTTCCTCTGAAGGAATAAGCACATGTAAAGGCCACGGGGACGAAGCGATTGATCTGCTTGGCTGGTTTCTAATTGAGTGTTGAATCAAGTTGAAGTTGTTCAAGTTAGTTTTAAAAGCTGAAAGGATTTCTTGGGTAATTGATCTTCTAAATGTCAGAAATGTAATTTTGATAAATGATTTTAAGTTTCAGGGGCTGCACGGTGGCTTACCACCGACGCCTCGCAGCTAGAAGATGGTGTCCCGGTTAGGAAGCTTTGGATCTTTTTGCGTGGAGTCTCCATGTTCTCCCCGTGCAGCGTGGGTTCTCTACGGGTTCTCCGGCTTCCTCCCACAGTCTAAAGACATGCTGAGGTTAATTGGTGATTGTAAACTGTCCGTAGGTGTGAATGTGAGTGTGCTTGGTTGTCTGTCTCTAAGTGTAGCCCTGTGATAGACTGGTTACCTGTCCAGGTGAACCTGCCTTCACCCTGAGTCAGCTGGCATAGACTCCAGCCCCCCATGACCCTAATGAGGACTAAGTGATGCATAGATAAAGGATGCATTTCAACTTTCGCTCTTAGATTTAGTAAGAAATTGTCAAGATATGTGCTGTGAACACAACTTTTAGTCTCTCCCCTAAAACATTAGGCCAACATGAAAGTGACTTAAATCTGCGTTCTTCTAATCAGCCAGCAGGGGGCGACTCCTTTTGTTGCAAAAACAAGTCAGATTGCATAAAAGTCAATGAGAAAATGACCCGACTTCTTCCGTGATTTGTTACCGCAGGAAGCATTTTTAAAAGTAATTTGTGGTCTTATTTGTTAGTTTCAAGACTTTTTCAACACAGCATGATGCTATTTTTTGTAATTTATGGACCCATTTAGAAAAAAAATAAGATGATAAAGCGCTCCATGCTGGTCAAGTTTCAAAAGATAGCGATGGCCATATTCCAAACTTTGTCCACATCCTCAGTTTGCAAAGCAGGCTCGCTGGTATAAATGTGTAACGTCCAAGCCAGAGACAAGATAATAGATATATCAGTTATTTTCCAACAACTTTAGAAAGCTCCATCCAAGCTAAAACATCAGACACTCACTGTTTGTTAGCTGTCAAATGCTAGTCTTTGCTTTTTTTTGTGTCTATATATTCTGCTGAAACTTTTTGGACTGCACCAGAACTTGAGGGTTGAAAAAGTAATTTAAGGCTTTTGAAAACAGCGAGGAGTATCTGTCATTATTTTCTAAGTCTTTCTCGACCAAATAATGAATTTTTAAACTGACAAAAAATGAACGTCAGCTTATTTTTTTTAATGAAAATTAATTGCGGCTGTGCACGTTAGTTGCTGCGTCGTGCAGAATGCTCGCAATAAGCGTCAATAAATCACAACTTTATTGTGCTGCCGTCACCTCCGCGAGTTCTGCAAAGCCTCGTTTGTTTTAATGGAGCGAGACAATAACTGCTGAAAAGATGAAGGACGGCATCGGTACTCTACCTTCCCATCGCTGCCCAGGGCCTCGTCCTTCCTGCTCTTCTCCAGGTCTGACGAGGAGGCGCACTCGATGCTCTCCTCCGTCGTGGCTTCAAGGTCCGTCTCCTCTGACAATGCAAACCTCTTCTTTGCTGCAGAGAGAGCAGATGCATGAAAGGGATTTTCATGCTGAGTTTTTTTATCCCCCCACTTTTTGCTTTATAGTTTCCAACATATCTAGAGGCAGTGACAGCAGCAGCAGCAACAGCAGCATCGGCGAGCGAAGAGCTGGCTGAGCTCCACACAGGAAAAGGTCTTTGATCAATGGCTCGCACGACTCACCAAAACCAATTTGCGGCTTCAACATTGGCAAATTGGAAAAGAGAAAAAAAATAAAACTGGTGGAGGATAATGACATCTTCTCTCAGAGAGGTGTTTGTTTCTGCAGGCACTCTGGCTTTTTTTTTGTGTGTGAGAGAGAGCAGGAGGAGAGAAGAAAGCCTGGGGAGTTTGTGTGTTGTGTGAGATTGACAATGAGTTTGTGACAGAAGGAGAGAGTCGGGAGGCTTCTGTGGATGCAGCGTTTGGCGTGTAGGTGTGAGTCACCTGGCACTGCCTCCAGCTCCTCCGCCTTCCCGTCCTCATCCTCCTGCTCGTCGCCTTTCTGCTGCAGGGTCAGCTGGTGGCACACATCGAAGGCCTGACCCACCGTCCGCACGATCCTCATGGCCTGAGACTAGCGAGGGAGGACACGGAGGAGAGGAAGAAGAAGAAGATGTTGGGGTTTTGAGAACAGACAGAAAACGGCAGCAGCAGCGCAGTAAGGGAGGATGCAAAAATGAAGGTGCACAGCGGGGGGGCAAATGGGGCGCCAGAGGAGTTTTGCAGGAAGACAGACAAAGAAAGTGTGTGTCAGCGTTTTGGTGCGCGAGTGATTAGAAAGAAGATGAAAAGTAAAAAGCAGGAGGAGAATGAGGGGGATGGAAATTATGACAGAGGAAAGCAGGAGGAGGAGGAGGAGGAGGGGGGGAGATGGAAACCAAATTAAAAGGAGAAGCTCCAGCGAGCGCTTTCACTGCTCGTCCTTGTCTGCTTTCTTTGTACACGTTCTGCTGTCATGGTGATGCATCGGCCTATTTCACGAGCAGGCGACGCTGATAGCGGAGGGAGTGCAGATAAAACTTGTTATTGTAGGAGGCTCGGTAGGTGTGTCAGCTTAGCACCATCAATTACTGCCCTTTTTAGCAATTTGCCATCAAATGCTCGTCTTCTCACGGAGAAAAAGAAAGCATGATCAGATAGCGCCAGCGTTGGCCTTTCTCCGCCGGCTTCAGGGTTTTAGATTTTATTGTTCGTTCTTCGAAATGGTTCGGCGCCACCTTACTCAGCAGAACTGAGGTGGACCAACCAGTCGTTCTTGAGATCAACCAAAACGGAGGCGAGTCGGCCTTTGCGGTCGTCTTTAGAAACTTTCACCTCTTCTCGTTGGCATTCGATTGAAGTCGAGCTCGACACCCTGACTTCATCTTCTTATTCAGATCTTGTTGTCTTCTTTTATTCAGATTAGTTTTTCAGTCATTGTATTTCATGGCCTGCAGGTTTAATTCTACAGCACTTTGGTTCAACTCTTGACTTTGACTGGAGACGGTTTAATTTGGTTTAACTCAAAAATGCTCGACTTAAAACTTAAACACGACATAGTTAACGAAAAGTGAGAGACATCGTGTGAAACAAAAACCACTCAGTGATGCTAAACTTTAATCTCTTTGGTAAAAATCTAGTTTCTCTTTTTTTTGTTTTTACCTCGTTAAGACGTCAATATGGTGTTTTTATTAAGGCGCATTATAAGTGAAGTAAGGAGGCAATGTACCAAAGGCAGCCTCAAAAACATGGATTCAGACTTCCAGGTTTCATATATATAAAAACCTTCCATATAAAAACCTGGGGAACTTATTCGGTGGGACTTTCTGTGTTATTCATCTTTTTCGGAATCTGTTTCTGTTTCTATATGACTGAACCACACCAATATTACAGCTTTCTGTTGTGTATTGTAGAGTTGTGTTTGAGCAGAGCTGTGGGTGAACTGGTGTGATCGAGTTGCAGAAAGTGGAGAGTGGAAAGACTTCATAGATGTACACATCCTAAATGAGGCAACTGTGTAGAGTTTCATCCCAGCCATTGTAACGCAGGAGGGGATTATCTGCATGAAAAAAAGCTTTTCAATATAAATTTTTATGGGTTTAATCAATGACCACGGAAGGACTCTAATGGAATAGTTGGACATTTTGGGAAACAGGCTGATTTGCGTTGGCATTTTTTTTTAGTGATTGTCACAGGAGAGCATGTCTGTGAACAATCAAACAGAAAACATTCCCCAAAGGTTTGTTACTGTCAGGAAAGTCCCCTGAGCGTTCCCTAAAGGTTCCCTGAAGGTCACAGTTTATTGAATTTTCAGGAACTGTTCTCTTAACATACCATGAAGGTTACTGTTTGCTGGGAAGGTTACAGCTAGCAACGTAGCTTAGCATAATGACGGGAAAACAGCTAGCCTGGTGATGTTGAAAGGGAACAAAATCAACCTTCTAGTGCCTCGAATATTTACTAATTCTTCCCGCATCATATCTGTTTATTCCACAGAAGCTAACTGTAAATATTATTGTCTTGAATCACTGGATAAAGTCATGCATTTTCCTCTGTTTTTGTGCTTAGCTAAGCTTTAGCTTCTAGACATTTTACAATAAAAAAAAATGCTTTTAAAAAAATACATCAAGGTACAGTTCTGTTTAAGTCATTGTGTTGTAGCGCTGAATTGATTAACCGACAATTAAACCTCTGAATCCCAATTATTTCTTCAGTGTTTTCTGCTCATGTTACACTTTTACCCAGTTTTTAATACAGTATAAAGTCCTGCACTTGTGTAAAAACAGCACAATCATGACTAGAAGTAGAGACCTTAAGAATGTCTTTTGTGCAGGATAATAAAGTTACAATCCCAAAAAATCCTTTAAATAAGAAAAAACAGGAAGTTGCACTGAAATGATTATTAATTTCCCCAAAATTGACAAAATCTTAAATCAACATGCACCATTTTTTCTACCAAAACTGGAAAAAAGTGACTCTAAATGCTGTGGATATTTATATTACTTGCATTTTTACTTGTTTTCATACAAGTTTTCTACCTGTGTTAGCACAGCCTGCAATTCAGCCGAATAGAGCAGAAACACTTGTTGGGTTTTTGTCAAGACTGTCGGTCGCAGCTGAGCCACTGATGGATTCTTAGTTGTGCCGAGGAGTGTAGAATTTCTTTCTTTCTTTTTTTTTTTTAAACACTGGTCAAAGCAAACTTGTTAAATGAGACGTGTAAGATAAAGTGATTTTGATGAAACATCGCAATTTTAAGCGTAGAGTTTCCTGATGGGACGAGACTTCACACACAAGCGGCTCATCGTTAATCATCACTACTTTAATATGTCAGTGATCATTTAAGTAATCTTTGTAGCTTGAGCACCAAACATTACTGGGTTGTTCAGTCGTGTATATTTGCCAGTTTTCATTATCTTACGTGATTTAACATGTTTGTGTTGGAAGATATTTGGGGAAGTGTGACTATTTCGTGACAGTTTATAGACCAAGTCATTAAATGAGAGCATAATGGGCGGATTAATCACGAATAAAAATGATCCTGTCTCGCGGTACTTGTGAGCTCTACAAATCAGGTTCAGGGCTGTTGTATGAATTAAATGCTAATTTTTGTTCTGGCTTTAATGCGGGTCTCAAGTGTTTGTTAGGCAAGAAAACTCCATGTGGCCTTTGAGACACCAGCACTTCCCTGATCGATTTCAAGGCTTCTTCTTTCCTAAAGCCCTAATATGCAGTCCAGTGACACCATCCTAAATCCACTGGAATTAAACTTTATCCACCATGTCCTTCCTCAGTCTCACTAAAGGTGATGTTTTCCATATTGAACACTGGCAGAAGCCGCGTCGAAATAAATTTATTGCCATCTGCCTCGGGAGGATCATCCTGCCTCGAGGCGCTCAGTCAATATGTCAGGGTAGCTCAGGCTTGAAAGTAGCTCAATCAGGTGAAATATCAAAACACGCCAACAACACAAACAAGGGGTACGGGCGGGGAAATTGATTCGGTTGCTCCATCAATGCAGAATTTAATTTGGTTTTTCGAAAATTGTCGCGTTAAACTGGCGGCCCTCCCGAGGCCGAGCACAAAAGGCCGTGTTGATGCACTGAGCCGACATCCGAGCCTCGCTGCGCTGGAACATGATGAAAATAAATCAAATCTCCTCTTATCAGCTGGTCCATCTCCTCCTACTCAGCACACATGCTCGGTCTGCAACTCCCAGATAAAGCTGCGCAGCCCCGGGGAGGTAAAGAGGCACCGCTGACCGCGTCCCTGACAAAGTCGTGGGTGTTTCGTTCGGCAGCGGTGAAAATGTCTTTAAGTGCAGAGTAAAAAAAAAAAAAGCCCCTTTTCTTTTCTCTTCCCACCAGAATGATTAACATTCAGCTTCACTAAGTCGCTGTCTGTCTGGTATCCATGGTGAAGGGACGGCAGTCAACCTCGCTGATGCTCCGTCTTTGTCGTGGAGGGGGGAAAAGAAAACCGGCAGATATGTGGAAGAGAGGAACATGTCTTTCGTTTTCATTTTAAGATTATGCACACGGCAGGTCTCTCTCAGATTCACTGGCAGGTTGACACACCGCTGCCGCCGCACATTATCGTCAGAAGCTGCACGGCGTCGAGGTGAAAATGAAATGCATCGATGGGCTCGCCGCGGTTTGTTTGCAGCCCACTTAGAAGGATAAAGCCGGAGAAAATCTGTGCTCTCGCTAATGTCGACAAAATCCACCGTAAGACCCAAACCAACAATGTGTTGATCCGTCTCTTAATAGCGACTTGTGTTGTTCAGCCCCGAGCACATTCATACCTACTCATTTTGAAGCTGTAGACATTTTGGAAAACATTCTTCGGAGCGGGAAAAGGAGTTAGATGAGAAGCTTGACAGAGCTCTGCTGTCTTGACATTAAATCTGACACCACAGCAAGCAACCTGTCAACTCTGCTTTGCACAAACACCGGGAACGGGAGAAAACAGCGACCTGCAGCCTGAAACAATCTCTCTGTAGTACGCTTATTAAAACAACACGTTTCTGTTTATTTTGTACCTTAAATTGAACCTCAGTGATGCCACAACTCTGGAAAGTCAATGCGCCCGGTGACGAAATAACTCCAGCACACCACAAAGCGTCACTTTTACATGAAATATATATCGCAGGATTAAGCAGAAAAAATATGTGACTAGTGCACTTCAGAGGCAAAGTTCTGCTGCGTTTGAACCGAGTCAGACGCGTTCTTTCCCCTCGTATCCCATCTTTGTTGCTGCCGGCTGTAGCTTCATGTTTACCGCCGAGATATGAAAGCGGTATCGATCTTTTCATCCGACTGTCAGCAAAAAAAAAGCAAACAAGTATCCCAAGATGTCTTAAAAAATAAAATAAACAGGTCACAGGGTAAATAATTCACAAGCCTGCAGTCCTAGAAAGTACGTTCGAAATAAATCGCAAAAAGTATGCATTTGAGGAATTGCAATGTCAGGCAGACTAGTTGCATGAAGTTGCAGTTACAGTTCACTGACAACATATTGATTTTAAATATTGCGGTTTGTGTCTTCAGCGTTATTGAACTCTTGTTGGTTGTGTTTGGGCACAGGGGAAAAGTTGTAGTCTGATTTAATATAGAAAAAAATTCACTGTGAATTGACACAAAATGCTTTTAATTGCATTTAATCACTATATTTTCTAACTGAAGTGCTTTTGCTTCCCAACGTGACACCAAACCTCCGCCTGAACCACCACCTGCTGACTCATTAAAGTCAAGAGGTAACCCAGCCAGTGATTGTGGTGACTGGGAAAGCAATACAGCAGCACCACAAACGTATGTTGTAGGTGAAACTGACTCAAAATAAACCTGTCAAATATCGCAGAGGTTTCCAACAGTTCCACGACTGTTGGTTTGGGAATGTTTCATGGGATTTGTTGACAGTAAGAACCAGAATCACAGCCTCACGCTTGCACGCCTACTCAACCATTCAAGTCAGATGACGGCAGGACAATGCTTTAAATATGGATGCTGCTGCCGAAAAGCCACAAATTTTAAAATGCGGAGGCTTCACACAGTCAGCCTGGCAGCACAGAGCGGCGCAGTTTCAAGGTGGACACCCGAGATTAGTGTCACCACGTCGGTATCTCACCGAATGAGAAATACGCTCACGGTTTCCTGTCCGTCGCTGAGTTATCGTGTTGAATAACGGCCAGAAAAAAGGTTTTTGCAGAATGTGAAAATGTCAGGGTGAAGCTGACCTGTGACCTTCTGAATATTAAATGTCATCTCTTCATCATTTTATCCTATTAAACATAAATTGAGCATATGGGTTCTTGATTTATGGCCAGAAATGTGTTCCGTCACGGTGGCCTCGACCTTTGACCGCCGAATTCTAATCAGTTCATCCTTGAGTCCAAATGGATTTCATAATGAAACTCCCTCCAGGTGTTATTAATATGTCACGAGAAGGATGTGAGGCTATGGAGACCCCAGTCTGACTCACCGAATGTAGGTTGTGGCTATGTCTGCCATTTATTTCTCATTCTTCTCCAATTCTGTTATCTGCATGTTACAGGTTTCAAAATCCTCTCTTATTACAAAAAAAACCTCAGAGCAGTAAACTACCACGCTGAAGGTGTCATGTTTAGATAAAGACCTGCTTGGTTCTTTCGGCAAACAGTTGTAAAGATCTTGCTGTCTAACAAGGAAGCTCTTGCTCACCAGTTAGAGAAAGACTTTCATTCATTTCAAAGGTAAGTTCTACCAAAAAGACAGTACATGACTTGTGCTTGTCCACTGTTTTGGACACCATCACTGCATCCTGGGCTCAGCACTGCCCAAGGCGATTGGCTTAAAGTGTATCAAAGTTACTTATTCAGTCAATGAAAAGAATTATTTTTAACTCTGTGCTGTTGCTGCGACTAGAATGATCTATGACGTTAAACCTCTATACTCATTGCAGCTCGAGCACACCAGCTCACCTATGGCTCAGCTCAAACACTGCAAAACTACACACAATGGCAAGTTGCAATATTGGAGTAATTCAGCCAAACATGTTTGAACCAAAACGATTCTGAAGACGAATAAGGACACAGGAAGTCCCACCCTGCAAGTTGACAGGCTTTGTTTCTAGTCTCTTATAGCACATAAAAAACCCAATACGGGGATGTTATTGAAGTAATAGCTAAAGGTTTAATAGCCAAAAAGCTGGATATGTCCCCCAGCAGTTGGTAGCAACCATGAATAAAGGCAAAATAGCAAATATTGGAGATAGCAGTTGTTTTTTTTACTGAAAGCAGCCATTTGTTCCTGTTGGAAATGAGGTTAATGATGGCAACGAAATGGCAACGTTGTGGGCAAACATACAGATGTGATAAAATGGTACAAAAATTTCACCAGAGGGGGCTTTTAAAGAAATACAAACAAGCCAGAGTGGTTTTTTTGCCTCGGTAGCAGAATGATAATGGATGCGGCGTTAATGGAGCGTTCTTTAGCGCTGACACAGCACTGATGAGGAAGGTCTGGACATGCAAAGCTGTAGGGACCTTCACCTTTGACCGCCTAAATCTAATGAGCTCATCTTTAGGTCCAAGTGAACGTTAGCGCCAGATTTAAAAGAAATCTCTTGAAGCTGAGATATCATGAGATGGGACAGATGGAGGGACAGACGCCTCCGGCCACAGTTCATCTCAGGTGCTGAGGCATTAACGTATAGATTATCATTCAGTTTGTCCGGAGTTCAGCTTACCTTCCTCTTTGACTTGAACACATTGCAGCGGAAAATGTTGCTCTGTCCGTCTCTGGCTATGTAGCTGAAAATCTTTAAGTCTTGAGCATCGTGTGAGACATAAAAGATCCTGTTGATGCGAGAAAACATCCAGTCAGCGCTCCAGCTTCTCATTTTCGATCGATTCTAATCAAAAGCACTCACCTGTAGATGGGGTCCTGCGTCACCAAGATGGTATTCTCATCCCACGACCACCCTTTTCTCTGTCACGACAGGCAGAGACACGAGATGTAATTCAAGGTTTAAACTCAAACGAACTGACTGATCAAACACACGCTCTCAACACTGACCTTCTTCTTTTTGCGCAAAATCACTTTGACAGAATCGGTGGACACGACGATGTTGACCTTCTTTTTCTTTATGTTCTTCAGCTTGAATTCATACTGCGGAGGAAGAATCAGATTAACGTTCATGCAGAATTTAAATCAAAGAAAAATTGATTATCGTGCCACACGGTGTGACTAGTATTACACATCACACAGCCCCACTGAGATGGAGCGCTGTACTCAAGATAAATGATACACAGCATATTAGGAGGGGGAAAAACAGAGATTACAGAGACAGGGGGATATTTTTTGCCTATCTCCTTCTCAGGGGAAATCTGAGTAAACATTGAGAAACTGTCAGTTTCAGTTTCTGGAAGCTGTTTAAGCTTTCAAAGGCAGACTTCCCAGAGGGAGGCAGACATGTGTGGGACACTTTCATCCCTCTGCATGATTAATACTACAGCCTGTACCCTCTGCTTCTTCTTCTTTTTTTTTTTTTACTGCGGGCTCAGACTCCAAATATCAAGACTCTATGAACAAGCGTGGATTCATGCGGAATAACACGCCTCACTTTGAAAACACAAAGTCCAACATCAGATGATTAATTGATCAGATGAAGTTCAGTGAAATCAGCCGTCAGCGAGCGGAGCGTCGCCCACTCTGCGCCGCACACTCGGATGTTCTCTTCATCTTTACATTTCTGAGGGTTTGTGCAAAAATAACAACCCAGAGCCTTCCTTTATTTCCCCCACAGAACTGAAACCCGCCTTCTCACTCTTTTCCTGACGTCTCAGAATAAAAGAACTTGGCGTGTTTGTTGCTTAAAGCACTGGTAGCACTGCTGATTTTAGCCCACTTTTTTGCTTTACAGTGTAAGCCGGTGACCTCTTGTCATCTGGTTCCATCCCCTTAATCTGTCTTGTTGCTGTGTGGGAGTTTTCTAGACTAGATTGTAGATGCAAAGGTGAAGGACACCTCAATGTGTGTGCGCGTTATCCAGACTAATGCAGCCTCGCATAAACCGGGACGAGAAGACCATCCATCTCGGCGCGCATCGCTGTCAGAGGGCGATGAAGTGGAACGCAGGAAGTGTTCACGCCACATTTTCATGCACATCAGCCCGAAACTAATTCAGACCAGCGCCGCCTCCAAGCAAATATAACGCTACAGGTTGTGGCCGCTCACCTCTTATCTCTGAGCCACTGCGAGTAGTTTAAGGACAAGTTGAATATTCAGCAACCGTCTCCCCCCAGAAGCAGAGACTCTTATGTTTTCCATTTTAATCTCACCTGCGTTTACCATCATAGTATTTTCATTATTTGTCTCTTAATGCATTTTTTCTTACTTCTGCTATTTTTTTTTTAATCTACTCAGTTTTATTAGTTTTGCTTCGAAGCCTCGGAGAAAAAAAGCACTTTTACAATCTCTGCTTTCAGATAAGAGCTGCATAATGTGTGTATTTCATTAATATTGTTTGTTTAAGCACAGATGGAAAGGCTGAAACGCACACACTGAGCCAGCAAGGTGTTCAGCCCTTGGATCACCTTGTGCTTTGTGTGGGTTTCTTTTCACTATGCGAGCATTGAATGTGTCATCAGCTCCAACTTGCAGGAGAGCAGCTTTATGATTTACCATAAGGGAAATCTGCACAAATCCAAACGCTAAATCTATGCCAGTACAATCAAATGGCCATTATCCCGCACTGAGCACGAGGGATCAGGATTAAATCTTTCCTGGGTGTCAGTGGGGATGCGGCCGACCTCTGAGTGACACAATGACTTGGTTGTTAGATTAGATCCAGCAGCTGACAAGCAGCTAAATCCTCTCCTCCCAGCGCCGCCGTGTGAAACTGCAGCGACGGCTAATGACAAGGCAGCGCAGTGTTTCCAGGTCTGAGCGAAGGGAGGTTCGGGGAGGATGTTGGTTCCTCTAATGCAGACCTGAGCGCCGTGGCTCCCCTCAGCCAGAAAATCTGAGCTGCCCTCTGAATCCTGCTGTGATTTAAACGGCTCCTGACAGCCCACTGAATCTGCCCGGTGCCCAGTTTTACAGACAGGTGATTTATGCGTAGAGACGATCCTCCGAGGCAACCGCGCACAAGGTGAGGCATAAAACACGGGAGGGGAGGCGTTTAATGTGCACACAACAACATTAATTGCCGCTTTGGAGTTGACGTGTTTAAGCGGCTCGAGGTCGCGGGGGTCAAGTTCGGCATCTGGTTCAGAGGAGGTCGCCCGTTTAATTGACTTACTCTGATTCTCCTCATGGCGGCGACGATCTCCATCCGGCTGCCGGGGCGACCCACCTCCAAACTGCCAATGTACTGCAAGATGTGAGAGAGGGGGTTTAAGTATTGGCTTTTTGAAAGAATGAAAACTATCGATTAAGCGAGGAGTGCTGGGGTGGCATGGTGCTTTATCTATTTACTTTATTTTTGCAGCTGTGAGCTTTTTTTTTTTTCATACAGTTTTGGGCACATTCCTCTCATTGCACTCCAGATGTACACTCAGTCGACCAACGTTTATCCACAGTATACATTAGTTTTTAACACTTATGGATTTGGCTACTCAAAATTGAGAATTTGCAGCTTTTCTTATGGATTTATGTTACATTAAACTGGATATTTGGCAGCATAGCACTGCCATACAGACAGATAAATAGATAAATAGACACTTTACTTATGCCCCTTTGGGAAATGGAAGGTTTCCAGGAGCTCACACACGTTACATTTGAGAAAAATAATGTGCAAAATAACATGCAAAGTAACATGCAAATCACACCGGTAGAAGAAATGATGTGCAAAATAGCGTTGGGAGCATAATAACTTGGGTTTCTGTTTTATAGTGCAAACTATTAATCAGTTAAAATCATTATTAGTTGCAGCCTTATTACACTGATCGATTTTTACTGCATGCCAAAAGCAGAAGAGTCCAAATTTAACTGAGAAAAAATGCATGGATATAACATTCACAGGCAAAATAAAAATCTTCAGTTTTTGCTATACATTTTAGTAAACCAGCACTAAAAGTGTCTTTCCTCATCAGGTTAAAACATTTCTTTTCACACTCATAAGTCATAAGATGACTTAAAACAGACATAAACAGCTCTCTGCATTCAATTAAAGCAACACTTTTACAGAAATAAGTGATGCTGAAGTCATGCAAAGATAAAAATACAACCATCATCATGTCACAAAACCTATTGCATGAAATAATAGTTGGACTTAAAGGAAATAAAGTCAGATTTGTGAGGGCAGCAGCCAGAGGAGCAGCCACCACATCACTGTGTTAATAACATGATCTACGAGCCTGGATTTCTTCCTCTCAGCCACAAACTCCAATCTGTTGCGGGAGGCTCCTACCTTTGCCTCGAAGCAGACCCCATGTTTGAACACCTCGTCGTTGTGCATGGGGATCCTCAGGTCGTGCGCGTCATCCACTAAATTGTACTTGGTTACTCCTGGCATCGCTTTAATGACAGCCGACTCGCTCCCCGACACTTGTTTTACGACAGCGCTAGAGACCTGCAGATATGCGCATCTCCCTCCGGCGCTTCTCCTCCGTCCCTCCCTCCCTCCCCGCACTCTCCCCCCTTCGGAGAGACGCGTCACTCCGGAGGTCACATGCGGGTTGAGGCGCTCCGGTCGCGACCGATCGATTAGTTGATGGGGCTCAATGACCGGCTGATCGCTGAGTTATTTCTTTGTTTTTTCTTTACTGACCCGTTTCACTCCGGTGTGGTCTGAAGCGACGACGGAGGAGCAGTTACGCGCCGCCGCCGCCGGGGTCCCGATGACGCACGGATCTCAGCGCATGATTGCTTTTCTTCTTTCTCGCCCTCCTCACAGCGGAGTCCAAGTAAAATATCTGAGTGAGCGACCGCTATGGAGCAGCAGCGGGAGCCTGTTAGTCAGTAAAGTGGATGCAGGATGTGACAGATGAGGAGGGACTCTCCCTGTGCGCAGCCGGCGTTTGGTTGGATGACATCTAGTGGCATCACAGGGAACGAGCGCATCATCAGATGTTTGTTTCCATGTGGATTCCAGGAGCCCCCAAGGCTCCTTGAAGAGCTCCTGGAAATAGAAGGCTGTTAATATGTGAGAAACTTGTTCATCTACAGAAATAGACGACACATATTCACTGGCAAATAAAACAAAAGTGAACTTGGTTGAGTTGTCTGAGCTGTCAGCTCTCCAAGTGTGAACACGAAGACAGTTTGACCTTTAGTTTCACACTTACACCTTTATAATGAGGGAAGTTATGAAGAAGTAGAGCTATGAGCCAATTACTGTTTGACTGTACATAAAGATATCAGTGTCTGTGTGGGAACAGATTTGTTTCAAGGCTGAACGATTCCAACTTTACTTGTTCTGCCGTTTCAGACAACAGTTAATGGTTCAGTGAACTTTGCTTTTAGCACGAAAATACAGCTGAATTTCTTTTGGAAATTTGCCATTTA